TTTTACTTTTTTCAAGGTTGTTAACTTGTGTCATTAACGTATAGGTAAACTTATAAACAAATTATCTTAATGAGATGATAAATTTTAATCAATGAATTAATGGCCTTTAATTCAAAATATACACTAATACCGAAACTAAGACACCTTTTGGTTTAATTAATGTTTTTAAAATTGAACCACAGGTCAGAATCATTTTGACCTTTGTTTGTTGGTTTGAATGGTTTGACCAGATTATTAATACATATGCAATCCAGATAGTTATTCAACACATCTTATAAAATTTGTGATGACTTTGATGGTACAAACTCTCCTAGACAAGCATAAGAACATGGATTCGAGTTATATGTTTAATAGTTTAATATTTTTATTTAGATTATAATAAATATTTTTGAGTGCAATGCTTACCACAGTACATGGTATAGGCCAGTAGTTCCTACGCTACCATGCAGGAGATTTTGCCATAAATTTATACTCACTATTTATATTTATTTTTTTGTGCTCTCTAAAGCTTTTGAGCAACTGGAGCATTTAAGAAAAATTATGGAAACATCACTCAAGTAATAATTTACAAAAAAAAGAAAAGAATTTATTAATAACAAATATTCACTTAATTATTAGGACATGAGAATTCAGTCTTTCTTAGCACATGAACTTTTCATTTTATTGTTTTTAAATTAAGCTCATGAACATTTAATTGTAATTTTTGTTATTTTTATGTTATTTATCGCTTCTGTATTTTATTAAATGTCTATTTTATTTAGGAGAGAGTAGGAGTCCCAACTGGGCTTATTAGCAACAATGCAAGAAATCATAGATCTTACCTTCCAACAGGATAATGCATGATCCTTTATATTGTTGAGTACCTACGTAAGAATCCCCATTTGCATATACTTTGTAAACCATTGATGCCACTAAGTCGTTGACACAGAAGTAATCCAATTGAAAATCAAACTTATGAGCAATTATAATTAGGTACATTCAAAGAAAATTAATATGTACTTTGTTTAAGTCTACAAAACAAAATGTAGTTCTTCTACTTGTTCCCCTTTGTATTGGAAACAGTCTTATTCCATGAAAACATGTTTGTGTTTGCTTAGCATATCATTAAAAATTTTGATAGCGAAAAACAAACAATACACACTTGATAGGAAGAGTTTACTTTCGAAAATATGACTGAAGCGAACTTTATGTAGGGCATATGAAGACCTCTCAAAATATGCAATCCTAGGAGTAGCACCTGCAAAATGGAAGCGATATGAATGAGATTCCATTTTTCTTGAGCATGTTTTATGTTTTTTAATGTCATAGTATTAGTTATTTTATATCACTTAATGGAGCAAGTTAGTCCATATTGTAGCTAGAATGATGCAAAGCACCCCAACAAACATTCTTGTAAGACCCTAAACTACGAAGAAGAAAGCTTGGACACATTAAATAGAAGAATAGAAATTTAGCCTACTTTCATGATTCCATAAAGAAGATAATGTTGTTATCTGGAGCATTTAGTAGGCAAGTAATGATCAAGGCAGAAACTTATGTCATAATCATAGGAAACAATATTAAAAAAAATCTTAAAACTAATAACTTTGAATACAAATTATCATTGTTCAAGAAAACACTTAAAATCATTCCATAATTTATACTCATATGAACTTTCAAATATCAAATGCAGTAGATTGTAGAATTGGATTTTTATTAATAATTTCTTTAAACACATTTATCTGCCAATTTAGGCATACCTTTACTTCTTCCCCATCCTGGATAATTATTTTCCCACCTTATGTTTTTGCATACTTGTTTATATTCAATATTTAAACTGAGTTGTCAATAAAATACAAACCTGAAATCAAAAACACTTAAAGAATCCAATGCTCTAATGATAGAAGAAGCTAATTTGCTTTAAGTTAAAATTACCACAATGTGATGATGATATCAAAAGCAAGTTATGTGAATTCCTAAACTTGACAAATTAGAATCAGTAAAAGAATATAAAAAAGCACCTAGCAGCAAAAAAAAAAAAAAAGCACTTGAATTTTTTTTTTTTTTTTTTTTTTTTTTTTTTTCTTGGTTGGCGCATTCTCATCTTCTCTGATTTTATAAATATATCTCTATCATTATCTCTCTCTTCCTCATTCTTCCTCACAATTGAAAATCAACATCTGAACACAACTGAACACACACATTCACAAAAAGGAAATTTACAACATTCTGCTATTTTTGAGGTCAATTATAACAATAATAGATAGACAAATGAACAAATATCAAAATATAAATTCCCTGAAAGAAAATTAGCGTGTATTGCTGGATGCAACTTTATCATTTCACTTTCAAAATAATAGAATCAAAGAGTCCTTTCTCTTGCTGATCACAAAAAAAAAAAAAAAAACGCATAGAGAAGCTCTGATATTTGAATAATTTCATTCTATTTAAAACTACAAAGCAACATAAATTGCTAATTGAATCAACTTAACCTTTTAACAGAAGAATAAATTATGATATTAGTTAATATTGAATCAACTCATGTTTTCCTAAGGAAAAAGCATAAGATGATAAAGAAAGGGGGAAAATACTGTTCTCCCTCCATCAGACAATAATCATATCCAATTCACTATGGTATAACCAATAACCAAAGCAAGGAAAACAAGACTAAGAGATAAGAAAAGAACTTTGCAACCCTTTAAGCCTTTTATCTAAATCCATATCTTCTGTTAAACCAAAAGGTTGTGAAAAAATAACATACATGAAGCCTTCTATCTAATTCCCTACCTTCTGTTAAACTTCTATATAATTCCTTCTCTTCTGTTAAAACCAAAGATTGCAGAAAAATAACATATTTGGTGCTTTCCCACTCTACTCATTTTGATACAATCTCCTTTGAAATGTGATAAGAAAAACTGCAGCCAAAAAATTTTCTTTGCTGCCCCGTTTCAATTTTTTATTTCATCATGCTATGTTTCAGTTACTTAAAAATACACACAAAAAAGAAAAAAGAACAAATACTACTGATTAAAGTATGCATTTGCATTAGAAAATCAAATTTATAGGTCACAATTTATAGCATGTTGGTGAATTACCTGTAATATTCCAATGAAAATATTGTAGTTAGTAGCAATCTCATAAATACAAACACACTGATTTTAAATCAACAAAAAAATGCAGCTACACAGAACAAACCTTTAATTAAACAATAAAATATTTTTTTGGTATATAGTAAAATTTGGGCTCCATACTTACCAAGCTACTTCAAGAAATATATGGGAATCATATACCTTCAGATCGTTCCAATTAACTTTGATTGAAAGTAGCTTTAGATTCTCCTTCCACACCAATGGAACATAAGAACCTGTTGCAGAAGATAGTTTATAGCCAGAAATCATGTAATAATGATGGTGATACAGAATTCAAACAAGATTATGTCATAGAATACAATTCTTTTAACAATTCTCAAAGTCCTTTATATTACTTTATTCCCTATTTCTTCTCACTCTTCTCTATTTTTTAAACTGATTTTTCTGCTCAAGACTTCTAGATTTTGTGCAACTCCCAATACGTTCATTTTCTTTTAATTCCTCTAGTCTTCTCTTTTTCCTCTCAATAGACCAATATTAGCCTATATGCCCTCACTGCAAAGCAAATCCATGGAAAACTACTCCAGCATATCATTTCATGCAAGAGCCATTATGAGGGAACTAACTTTAAACAGCATGCATGTAATTAAAAATTTGACAATAAAGTAACATGAAAAGCTACCTAAAAGAGGTATGATTATCTTTAATCTTCTTTCAAACTCAGCATCTACCATGCTGTCAAAAGAAAGAGGTTCTCTATTTCCATTCAAGACAGAAGTGTCATCCTGAAAGGTTGGAAAAGCAAGTTAACAATGAGAAAGAAAATATAATCTAGAATCTATAGATATGATTCAAACGGCAAGATTTAAGACCATGGATATATGGGTTGGAAAAACAGTAGCAGCCTAAAAAAAACATGTAAATTGAGAAAAGGAAACAAATAAAAAAAATCATGCCGAACCTCAGAAACTAAATTGTTGCTCACATTAAAAGGATAAGGAATATCTTTCACGTCATCTTCATATGAGATGTCTGGTATTTTTTTTTGCAGAAGTCTCTGACATAAAAGGAATTCTAAAAGTCAATAAGAAAATATAAGCAATTGAATTGCCCAAGTCTTGAGTTACAACACCAGCAAAAATATGTTAGCTGTTTACATAGAGAAAATTTACCTGAAATACCCACGACTAGCATTGCAAGTAACATTTCCTGCCACTCACAGTACATGAATAACATTACTTGCCTGCAATAAGAATACTTGTAAATATAATATGTTCCTATAAAAAAGACTGAAAATCATTCTGTTTACATGCGTATTGCGACAAAAATGTAAGAAAATTGCCAATTCTTCATACTCCAGCTTGCGGCACATAATAAGAAGGTGCAAATGCAGGGACTATATGAATCGGGGTTGATCAAAATTATTACACGTGGGTGGGTATGTTCTACCATTTTGCACACATAAAGCACAAACAATTTACCCTCGGTTAAATAGCTATGCAGAATATAACACTAAAAGAAAGATGATTTGTTAATGCTTGACTTGAAGTCAATAATGAAAGCAAAAGTAAATCATGTAACTCAAAGATTTCCCTTCTATCTATTGTTTATGAGCCAAATACTTCAAGTTTCAGTAGAATATTACCTCTCAGGAATCTTCCGGCTTCCTCTTGATCTTCCGGTAGCTAAGCGCGAATAGGAAGTTCGCCTCACAAATTTCTCTCTGATTTTTTCCAGCGACTGGAGGGTACAATGCACTTTCGGGTGGCTTCTATCCAAATCAGAATGGGGTAAAAAGATTGAGATGAGGTGCGTAGAAGAGATGAAAAGACGGGAGAAAGAAGGCAGGCCCGGCAAAAAGTGTGATACATTAATTTAAAGAAGGAAACCTATTTTTGAAATTGTTGAATCTCGTGGTTTCAACTTGAATTGAATAGAGAAAATAATCTCTTAAATGGATAATCAGAATTTGAATTTAAATTTAAAGAAGGAAACATTTAAATGCCTAGGTAAGATTTCAATTTAAATTATGAGTAATACTATAGTCATAATATTTTATAAAATAATAGATTTATAATTTTATATAATATTCAATAAATTATAACATAATGTTAAATAAATATATAATGTTATAAATAAATTTTTAAATAAAAATTAATTATATAATAATATTTTATATCATATATTTATAATATTATAATTATATGTTTAAATTAATGAAATAACACGTTGGCTTGCAGAAGAGAGTTTACCGCGGTAAAATTTTGGGCAAAAACTTATTTTTAGTCAATTGCTTTATTAGATTTGTAGGTTTTAATCTCTTACTTTATATTATGATATTTTTAATCACTCAACTATTAAAATTGAAGAAAATAACTCTCATTTTATAATATTTCATTATTTTTGTTAACTGATTGTTAATTCTATTAACTGACTGTTAATTCTGTAGCTAAAAGTAGGTTTTTGCCAATAACAATCAACTAATAGAGTTTACAGTTAACTAAAAAATAATTCTGTTAACTGATTATTAACTGTATTAGTTGAAAGTAGGATTTACCAGTTAATAATCAGTTCATAAAGTTAATAGTCAATTAACAGAACTAACAAAATGTTATAAGTGATAGCTATTTTCTTTAATTTTAATATGTGAGGGATTAAAAGTGTTTTAATATAAGGTAATTGTTTAAAATCTACAAATCTAATAAGGTGAAGAATTAAAAATTTACTTTTGCTAAAATTTTGATTGTTGTCTTTTTTCACTCTTTGTTGACTTTAATGGTTGCTAAATTTTTTTTGAATGTGGATTTTTTCAAATAGTTGATAGAAATCAAATTTTTTATCAATTAAGCTCAAACATTAAGTTTTGAGGACAAATCATTTGAAGATTCGATTTTAATAATAGCTAAGTTTAATAAATAAATATTGATAAGTATTAATTATGTAGAAAAGACTATTTCTTAACAGGAACCATTTAGAAATCGACATATTTTTTCTAATTAAAAATTTTTAATAATATTTATAAAATTGTATGCAACATTGAAAAATGCAACATTGAAAAACGTAGTGGTCTAGTAATAAATGGCTGCTCCCAGTTCGAACTCATCCAATTGCAGGGTTTGAACCTTGCCGGCCACATTTCTGCAAGATTTGTTTTGTAATAAATTAAATTGGCTGGTGGAACGGTTCATTGGTTTGTGACGGTTTGAAGCAGTTAAACCGTCCCACTGGTCCTGAACACCAATTCAAGCCATTTACAACACTCGGTACTGACCTAATTGGTTCAATTGGTCAATTTTGTTTGATTTTCAAAATAATATATTTAATATACTTCACAACATATTATTAAAAATATTATTATTTTTTAATCTAAAATTAAAAAAAAAACTACATACAATATAAAAAAAATAATTATATTTATATTATATTTTAATAATTAAATTAATTAAGTGTAGGTGTGTTGAGTTAAAAAGAGTACAAATCATTTTCTAGTTAAAAGTAATTGTTATATAATTATGTAATTAAGGATTAATATAATCTTAATCATTCAACAATGCTCCTCGTCTAGTGGAGGTTTCTTCTCCTATGATTATTTAGTTGAAGTCTTGTTGATTGACGAATTCAAACACTTAGAAATCATTCTTGAAACCTAGAAATTTTAAGGTTACTAGCTATTTGATTTAATTAGCCAAAGGAAATTTCAATCCATCAAGGAAAGACAAATCTATGACAACTAATTTCCTCAAATCTAAAACCCTAAATAATATCTCAAATTCTCACCCAAAATCATTGTATTTCTCACTTGCAAATAAATTTGAAAAAAAATAAAGGTTACCAAAATTCAAATTGTATCGAAATAAATTTATATTTAGGGTTTTTTCTCTTGTGCTTTGCCTAGGGTTGAGGGCTATGGGTTTCTCTTCGGCAAGGAGTTTCTTCCTTCTCTACTGTATTCTTCCTTTCCCTTCCTCCTCTTGATTTCTTCCTTCCTTTTAGTCAACTATCTTGCTTTGGAAACTTCAGCCTAAGGGACCACAAGGCAGTGGCATTTTTTGATCTACATCTACTGTCAAATTTTGAAGATTGTGACTGAATATCGAGGGACATGATCTTGCTGGTGGGTTTGGTTTTCTCTTATTCACTAGATCAGAATCTCGCTTTGACATACCTTCAATTTCGGATAGGATCCTGGCGGGGGTTGCATTCAGAGAACCTAGTGCACTCCAATTTCCTACAAGGCAACAACATCCTTTGATCTACATCAGAGAACCTAGAGCACTCCAATTTTCGATCCAGTAATCGAATACAGATGGACAAGAATGCTGTGGGTGACCTGGTTCTAGTGATATTGGTCTCCTAAGGAAATGTATATTCATGCATTGGTTTTGCTTTTCTCGGCCACTTGAACATGAAACAAACTAAGCATTTTCTGCTTGGACGGAGCATTGTGGTGCTAGGAGACACCGCATCGCCAAGTCCCCTGATCTCCCGTCCAATTGACTGGGTTTATCACGAACTCAATTTAATCGTTTCACATTCAAACCCAAATTTAAGTTTGTGTTTGAACCTAGTTTTGGGTTAATAACAAATCGAATTATAGGGTTTGATTTGTGATGAAGAAATGGGGGACGGGTTGAGAGAAATGAGTGCGAGAGAAAAGGAAGATGAATAAGGGGAAAGGAATAGGAAATCAAAGGAAGATGAATAAGGGGAAAGGAATAGGAAATCAAAGGAAGAAGATGATGTTGAGAGAGGCATTTATTTATGGAATTGGCAAAAGCCCAAAATCCACTCTTCAATTGGTAAAACACCTAAATACACCCTTTAACTTAAATAAGAGGATAGGGACAAATCTACTTTTTAAAAAAATATAAAGATAAATTACTCTTTTAAATTATAATTTAAGATAAATAATTTATTATTTAATATGTGACATGATCACACAAGCTTTCTAGTAAAAAATGCTTAGATGACAAAGGGATTTGACATGTGATAACGTCACAAATTAAATAATAAGTGATTTGTTCTTATCAATAATTTAAAAAAGTAATTTGTCCTTACATTTTTTAAGAGGCAAATTAATCTATTCCCTCATAATTGAGAGGCAAATTTGGGATTATACTTATGTAATTTACATGGATTGTAATTCACTAAATAATTTCAAATAAACATTATTTTAAAATTTATGTGAATGGTAAAAAAAATTTTCACATAAAATAATAATGCCACATCGACTTTTCAATTTGTTCACATAAAATATATTTTTATTTTCAAAGTATTATTTAAAACAAAAAATAATAATTTTTTAACAAAAAATTTGTCATATCATACTTTAATTGATGAAATGACAAAACAATATAATTTATAGAGGTAAAAAGGGCAAATCAGCGTCTATACTCATGGAATGGTGGTAAATCAGCCCATTAACTAAAAACAAATGCAAATCAATCCTTGGACTCATAATATGGTAGCAAATCAACCCCTATACTCATGGAATGGTAGTAAATCAGCCCCTTAACTGAAAATAAATGCAAATCAATCCCTCGACTCATAATATGGTAGCAAATCAGCCCTTGACATTAGCAAAGTGTTAATTCCTGACGGAGAGATGGTTTTGGTGGGGTCTAATGCTTATGTGGCAACCATGTGGCAAATTTTTATCCTACAGCAAACTAAACTAGTTGAGTTGACAATCTATGGAAATGACAATTACAGCCTTGTCTTCTACCTCTAGAAAGTTCCAAGAGTAAATCCCCTCTTTCAAATTCCTAAATTAACATCACATGATCAATAAAATGAAGCCATACAACCTTGAAGCTTTCCATCCTCAGAATTTTCTATAGAAATTATTCACAATTAAAGCTTGAATTTTCACCCAATAATCATAAATAAAAAAATCCAAGATTTTTATTGAAAAATTTACAGCGCTACTCTCCTCAAATTGTTAACTCTAAGCCAATACAGCTCCACCTTGCCCCAAACCCATCATCCATTGTAGCAAATTGCCACAAACTGCCCCTATCATTTGTTATGCCCATCTGTCCCTCTTCATTACCCACCACCAAAAATAAAAACCACTTAAGCCAACAAGATAACATACATGAGAAAACATCTCTATGGTCATCTAACAATCAAGATGCCATCGAGATAGAAGACCCTCCTTGCCACTACCACCCTCCAACACTCATTACTGGTTTTCTTGAGTTTCTCTTTCAATTTCTTTTAGATCTATTAGGCTTTCTCTTAGATTTTTTTAATATCCTTTCTTAGATTTTCGGCCCACTTGGATTCCTAAAACAAGTTTATAATTTTTGAATTTTCTTACATGCTTAAAATTGCACTTGTTAATTCATTGCTAGCCATGATGGTATTTTCTATTTGTTTGCTATGAAGGTTGGGTTCTTGGGGAATTAAAAGTTGATTGAAATGGAAGTAGGCAAGAGTTTTTTGAAATGGGTTTCTAGAGGAAGAGGAAGACCCATTTTTTTATTTTCCTAATTTAAAGTTTTTTTTTTTAGGCTTCCATAACTTAAATGCTTATATATATTAACAATAGAAAGATTAATTGTTTCATAGTACATAAGTTTAAATTTTTTATTTTAATTTTAAATTAAAAATTTTAAGTTAATAGGTATTAAGATTTAGTTTAATGATATTAATTTGTAACTGTAGTTGTAAGTTTTTTTTTTTCATATTTTAATATCTTAAAAATATATAAAATATATTTAATATATATAATATTTATTTTAATTAATATTTTATATATTTTAAAATGCAAAATAAATATGATCAA